TCTGTCCCCTTTCATTTCTGAGGAACACCTGGGTGGGAGCAGGCTCGGTGACCAGCAGGGACACCTGGGAGCCGTGCTGTAAGCCGTAGTAGCTGATGGGTTTGGAGTCGTCGTTGAGAGGGGTCCTCTGGCCATTTATGAAAACCAGCCTCTGCCTATGGGGGTCGACTCCCAGCATGCTCTGGATTTTTATTTTCAGAGAGCCAACTGTGTCATGTGGGTTCACCCTCACGGTGTGGGACCCACTCACCATAGTGATAGTTATATCCATGTTGGCTGTAGTCTGAAAGAATACAAAAATAGTTCCTTATAATACAAACGCTCAGGAAATAAAAGACTTTTCAGTTATTTCTCACAGGCTTGTTCAGTTTCCTACCTTGCGATGGCTTATTGAGGCAAAACAAACTTCTCCGGAAACTTGAAGTCTTCAGTCATGCTCAGGTAAACAATGATGCTCATCAACAGCTGAGCGAAAAGCCTCAGCTCAGCTCTTTATATACACTCCCGCTCAGCTGATTAGCGCTGCCCACTCACTTAAGATTCGTTTTTCATCTCTGCTGTAACAACTTTCAAATTCCACCTGCTACTGTGGAGGAGTTGGATCAACTGATGGGAAAATATTTTTCCAAGCATAGTTCTGCTCTGAATAACCCATAATGTTTTAATTTAGGGGGGCCTGTAAATAATTTGTACTTACTAATTACCACTGTTCAAAAGTTGAATAAAGAAACAAACAAATGTTTACCTATTTTTAATTAAAACCACTTTATAGAACATCACATCAGTTACAATGTGGAATCAATGTCATGTATAGTTTACATTTACATAAAATGATGACAGCATTTATATAATATCACCCACTACTAGCATTCTGTAATTTACTGTCTCTTTTGAAAATGTATCACTGCATATACAGCACAAGACTTTTAAGAGTATTTAACAAGAGCATTTTCCCCTGGTTTTACTAACACACTGGAGCACATGTTCACCAAAACGCAGCAAACCTTTGCCATCTTATCCAGGAGGGTCACCTTTTCACCCTCACATGGAAGAAGTAAT